TTCCCCAGGCCCTGTCTCTACTTCCTGGCTGTTCACACAGAAAGGAGACAAAACTGTCACCATCCTCTGTCAGAACTGGGTGTGTCCCTCACACCAAGACAGAAAACAAATGATCAGGGTGGGTATATCTGCATCCTGCCAGGTCTCTAGCCGTATCCTGAAGACTTGAAAAGGACAAGAGACACACCCAAGTACCTCACCTCACCCCAACAGACGTGCTGGAAAGAGGTCCTACCTCTGGGAGGGTCCAGTCCAGGAAGCATTGGAGATGCAGCCTATTCTCCCCTTGTCTGGGTGTCCAGGGTGTTGCTGGAGACCTGGATGTCAGAGTTTCACGTCCTGGGGTTAGCTGGGGTGGGACACAGAGACTCCAGCCCAACCCCGAAATAGGAGGCAGAGAGGCGAGAAGGAGAGGGTGGTGGACTGCCCACCTGCCTGCCCTACCCGCTCCCTCAGGGCAGCGCTAGCTAGAGGGTTAGGCTTCCTTCCTCCCGACAGCTTGAGTGTCACTCGACCTCAGGGCACATTCCAGAATGAGGCCACAGCCAAGAATAGGACCCAGGAACCCTGCCCTCCATCCTGCCTGTATTAATCACACACTCCCAGAGCAGGAGGAAGACTTCAGACTCTGGGGAGGTGGAAGGAGAAGGAGACGGTATCAGGAAGTGGAGCTGGGCAAAAGGAAGGAAGACCCCAAAGGAGCCCTTCACAGCCCTGTGGTCTCCAGTGCACCGCGCGGCCCTTGGTCCCGGGACCATTTGTTCATCCAGCGAATCCCCCTGGTCCCTGCAAGCTGGGCCCACCGGCCTCCCAGAGCCCTAAGCAGTGGCTCTGGCCGGGTATCATTGCAAGTGCAGAGGGAGATGGAGACTTGGAGAAGAGTGTGCGGCCTGGGCACAGCGGAGGCTCCCCAAGGAGCTGAGTCTCGAAGGATGAGCAGGCTCCGGAATCTGGGCCATGACTGCTCACGTGTGTGACAGAAATACCATGTGACACGTAACCTCAGAAGCATGGGGTGGTGTGCGTGTGGCTGACGGAAGACAGGCTCTTTGGAGACATTTGGGGTCCTGATGGGATTCCACACTGCCCAGCCCAGAGCCGCGCATGTGTGTGTGTGGTGTGTGACATGCTGGGAGAAATAGCATAGCATGAGCATTAAGACCCTAGAAGTCAGACTGCTTAGGTTCAAATCTCGGCTCTGCCACTTAGCGGCTGGGTGATCTTGGACAAGCTTCTCGTCTCCTTAGCCTCAGTTTTCCCACCTACAAAAGAGCGTTCTGTCTCCCACAGGCGTGACGGAGATGACAAGAGATGACATCTGCCCTGCGGTAAGCGCCCACTCAATGTTGATGCTATAGCAGGATGGTGGGACACAGGGCGCAGTCCACAGTCTGAGGAAATCGCCATGTAGCTGTATTTATTCGCCCCCTTCACTCATCAGGTTCCGCCCCCGGTCCCTGCTCTCTGGCCCCACTGTCCAGGGGTGACATCAGACTATGAGGCAGTGTGTCCTATGAGGCTGGAGGGGCTGGGGGACTCAGAGGCTGGAAAAAGTCAAGCCGTCCTGCCCCTGTCTTGTCCTCCTCCAAGCGGAGGCCTCAGAGCTGGTCTGGAGACAGCCGGCACCAGAGCGAGCCTCTGAAGGCAGAGAGCTGGGGTAGAGGCGGAGGAGGGTGGAGAGAGGGAGACAACAGGTGCGAGCAGGGGAGGAGCCAGCATCCAGCGACAGGAAAGCAGGTGAGTCTGACCTCGACCTGAAGGAGGGCTCAATCCCCCTATATCCTGGGGCCAAATCTCCCAGACGGGGTAGGCTGGGCCTCCCGAGGTCACCTGGCAACCAGGCCCTGGGAATTCAGTTCAGCCTGCACTCAGCACCTCCCAGAAGCCAGTTACTACGTAAGGCCTGGGTGACAGAGAGAGGCACAGACTTGGTTTCAAGGACAGAAAATAAACGCCATGTGGCAGGTCCACCACGATCATTGATACTATATCACCCTTTCCCCAAGTACCCATATTTTCCAAATCCCAAATCAACCTATGCGGGGTGGTCAGTTTGGGATGTACTCCGAGCAGCAGAATACAACATTTGAAGCTGCGTGGTCACGGAGCCTGTGAAACCTGAGGTCTGGATGGAAGGGCAAGGGGAGGAGAGCAGTCCTGGGGGCCTGCTCTCAGCCAGGGAGCTGCTGAGGGCACAGAGGGGGCCCAGGGGCAGCCATCTGTGCCAGGTTCTGTTTCCTAGGCTTTTCAGTTAGACACAGTTAATAGGGTCGAGCACCTCAAGTCTCCATGAACTGCTCTGTCTTACAGATGAGGAAACAGGCTCAGAGAGACGGCGGATACGTGTCAGAGCCCAAATTCAGCCCTAGGTGTGTCTGACTCCACAGGCTGGGCCTTCCCACCCTGCCAAGCTGGGGATGGAGTGTGACAGGGACCCCAGGTCTGCCGCTGTGTGTGGCCAGTGCCTGAGATCAGATCCCCTGAGCCTCTCACACCTCCGCCCGGCAGTCACAGGGCTCAGCCCCACGTCTATGCAAGTGGAGGGAAGAGGGGAGGTGACAGGTGTCGGCATGTGGACACTTGCCCCCTCGGGCTCTAAGGTGATGTGCCACTTATTGGGGCACCTCAGCCCAGAAGCAGGTGCAACAGTGTGTCCGCACTCTGAGGGAAGGGAAGGAGTTACTCCCTGGTTCTGGACCTGAGAGGGGCAGGGCCTGCGTCTGGTGCTCACACCTTCTTGTTTAAGTTCCGTGCTCCCGGTGGTGACTTGAGGAGCTCCCACTCCTCTGGCCTCTCTTCTCTCTCAGGGAGGAGCTTGTCTTCTCCATCCTGGCCCCTCCTTATTGCAGGGAATTATCTCTAAGGAGGGATCGACCCGGACTGGGCTGGGCTGGGCCTGGATTCCTCCTTGGGGCTATGGCCCGGGAAGACCAGGGAAGTGGACAGGGGTCAGGTGTCCCTCGTGCTTAGCTGGCTCCCAGCCTAGGGGACAGACAAGCTGGGAGCATGCCCTGGCTGAAAACTCCTGAACACATCTCCGGGGAGGGGTGCTGCTGCCTCAGCCTGGGAACCCAGCCACGTGCTCTGAGCACCCAGGGCTTTGGGACCAAGCCTCACCCAGAGGCCCCCTAGGGAGTAACAGCAGGACAGCAGCATGGCCCCCTGCCCACTCCTGTCTTTTCCACCTTCGTGCCCCTGAACTGACCATCAGCGTTGGGGTCTGGAGTCTGCCCTGGCCCACCGTGCTGTTGTGATGGGGCAGGGGACCGAGATACGAGAGCTGTACAGAGCTGGGGTGGGCGCCACAGTAAGAAGTCCCGTTACCACCTCAACAGGATCCAGGTGGACAGATTAACCCCCCCACCCCCCAGCTCCCCCCCCCAACCACCAGGTCGCCAAAGAAACGACACTACCCACCCCCCCGTCCCGCCCACATTAGCCCAAACGAACCACACAAGAAGGGCTGTTGATACTTGGAGCTTTTAATTGGTATCTTTCCCCCTACATTTGAGGAAGAAACAAAAATGCCCCACAAAGACCTTCTTCAGCTATGGAGGGGCACGGACAGAATGAAGGGCTGAGGAGGGAATGGGGGTAGAGGAAGAGCTGACGGTGGGTTTCCCCAAAACTTTACCTAGTGGTGTGGTGGCAGACCTGCACAGGAAGTCCAGAAACAGAGGTCACCGACAAGCTGCCGCACACCCAAACCGGCCCTCCCAGGCCACACCTAGAGCCTCTCTCCGGGTCCCTGCGGCTCCCAAGGCCACCACCAGATGGGAGCATCGAGCAACATTCCTTTTCCTTCCCAGGCCTGCCTCCCCTCTTCCCTCCTTTCTTATTCCTTCACCAACCCCCTTCCCTGCCTGCTTTTCCTCTTCCTTTATTTCTCTTCCCACCAAAACAGATCCTGGGGCTTCTATCTGCTTTATGTCCAAGGAAGCCAGTGGCAGCTGAAAGCACGCTGTCTGTTAAAAATGGGATTTTTGACAGCGGGGAGAGCCAGCCATCGGTCTGCTTCTGGGGGAGCCCTGGGGTCTGGACATTTGTGTACATTCACTATGAGCTGGGCAGTGACTAACACCTCTCTGTGGTTCTAGCACCTGGCACCCAGTAAGTATCCAGAAAATGTCCACTGAGTTGGATTGAACAGAACTGAATCAATAAATCAACAATCAATAAACCAATCAATAAAGCCAAGGGAGAAGAAACATGAGAAACGTGCTCTTCACCACATGTGCTGTGGTGGCCTCAGAGACTGCCAGGCCAACCTCACCGAAGCACAGGCTGACCACCGCCCAAAGGCACCTGCCCGGCAGCCTCCACTCAGGGCAAGCCTCCCGATTCTCACTTCCCACAATCCCCCCATGAAGTGGTTTCTGCTCATAGCGCCCTGGGGGGCTGTGGGAAATTTGTCCCATCAGTTCCTGGTCCCTCCTTTCCATCCCACCTACTTCTTTTGCAAACCAATTCATTCCACTATTCCTGTGACCATCGTGCAGCCTCCATCTCTAGAATCCTGGCTGGGAGGCTGGCTAGGGGCAGGGAGGCTGGGAGAGCCAGGGGAGGGAGTGGCCAGCCAAGAGAAGCTAAGAAGGCCAGAGCAGACTGGTCGTTAGGAATAACCTGCAGGTGTCTGTTGACTTCTCCTTTTGTCCCCCACAGCTGAAAAGACACCCCCTCTTTATTGAACTCAAAGAATAGAAGTTGATCTAAGACCCTCGGGTGGCTTTTTTCTGTTCTTTTCTTTTTTTTAACATCTTTATTGGAGTATAATTGCTTTACAATGGTGTGTTAATTTCTGCTGTGTAACAAAGTGAGTCAGCTATACGTATATCCCCATATCTCCTCCCTCTTGCGTGTCCCTCCCACCCTCCCTATCCCACCCCTCTAAGGTGGACACAAAGCACAGAGCTGGTCTCCCTGTGCTATGCGGCTGCTTCCCACTAGCTGTCTGTTTTACACTAGGTAATGTATATATGTCCACGTGGTGGCTTTTTTCGGATGCGTTGATTGACATTCCCCTGCTGGCCTAAGACCATCTAATCTGACCTTGCCCAGTTTGCTGACTGAGGGGTGCTGGGGATGGGTCAATGGAGGAAGGTCAGGGACAGGACTGGGGAGGGGCGGAGGTCCTCACTGCAAGCCTGGGAACTCCTTGAGGACGTCACAGGTTTTCTTGTGCATGACCTCGCGCAGCTTCCGAACCCGCCGGGTGCTCGAGGCCCCCACGAAGCTGTCGGGCCGCAGCATGGCCATGCCGCCGTCCACCTCACCCATGATGATGAGCGGCGTCTCGCCCACCGTCACGTTGGGGCAGGGGCAGGTCCAGTCCACGTGGAGCAGAGTGACCTCCAGCGGCTCCCGGGCCAGGAACTTGAGGCCCATCTTCTCATCCTTTAGGACCTCGTCCACAGTCACCAGGGCGCGACCTGAGTCGGGCTCCTCTGTCAGCTCAGAGATTCGGCCCAAGATGACAAAGTCGCTCCGACAGAAGCTGGTGACGAGCTTCTGCCTTGGCTTGCAGGCCCGGCAGCGCTGGTTCCCCCGAGGGAAGGGGCAGGACTCCTCGCAGGCCTCGCGGCTCTCAAAGTTGTTGCCGTTGCCCTCGCAGCCGCCGTAGACAAAGGACTGGCACTGGCCCGTCTGGCTGTTGTAGGCCCAGCGGGGCTCGTAGGCCTTGCAGGGCCCCTGCAGGGGGGGCAGGCTGCACACGGCCAGCGGCCCGCTCACGCAGGCCAGCATGCAGGCCTCGTAGGTCTCAAAGTGGTTGCGGTTGCGGTGGCAGTGGCCGAAGGTGAAGGTCAGGCAGCTGTTGGCCTGGGCGTCGAAGTACCAGCGGGTCTGCTCCTCGCCGCAGTCCTCACTGTCAGGGGGCTTCAGGCACTCGGCTGCGGGGAAGGCTGTGCCGTTCGGGCTGCTCTCCTCGGTGGCCGAAGGCCGACCTCCCCGGACCACCGACAGCGGGAAGTCAGCACGCAGGACGCCAGCGGCGTTGCGGGCCGTGCAGGTGTAGATGCCGGCGTCCTGGGGCTGGGCGCTGTAGATGACCAGCTGGGCGATGTTGGTGACCACCACGTTGCCGCGCACATGGTTGGGCCTCATGACCACGTTCTCCCGATCCTCCAGCTGCTTCTCCCAGGTGATCTCGGGCCGGGGCCGGCCCACCACATCACAAAGGAAGCTCACTGTCTCACCCACTGTGACGGACTGGTGCGCGGGGTAGTTGAGCAGAGCTGGGGCCGCTGTGTCCAGCCCAGGGGTCTCTGGGGGGGCCGTGGTGGGGTGCACGGTGGTTTCGGGTGGTGGGGGGCTGGTGTTGGGCCAGGTGAAGTGATAGCGGCAGGTGACGACAGCCAGTGTGATGCCCTTGGAGCAGGCCTCGGCGTCCATGTAGCAGCGGTTATAGTAGGTGAGGCCGTCGGAGGCACAGGTGAAACTGGGCTCCTTCTCACAGCGGTCTCTGCACTTGCACACGGGCTGGCCGTCCCAGATGTCACATTCGGAGCCCTGCTGCAGACACATGAAATGGTCGCATGTGGCCTCCTTGGGCATGCCCACGGGGCCCTTCTTCCCCTTCACGTCCATGTAGCGGGCCGCCACACAGCTCTTGGTCCCACACACGTTGGGGCAGCACTTCTCATAGGTCTCACACTCCTGGGGAGAGCCAGATGGAGAGGTCTGAGCAAGGAGGAGAAGGAAGAGAACGCAGGCTCCCCCCACTCTCCCCCATGGTCTCCAGGGAAGGGAACTAATAGGTGCTCATGTACCATGAGAAAACCATTTCGATAATACTAATAGCTAATGTATTCACCCACTATTTGCCCAGCCTTCTTCTAAGAACATTTATATCTGTCAGCTTATCTAATGCTCATCACAGTGGGTACAACCATCATTCTCACTTCACAGGTAATGATAACTGAGGCACAGAGAGACTAGGTAACTTGCCCGAGGTCACACAGCTAGCAGTGTGGGAAGAGGAAGGTCACATACTGTAAGAGGGGAAGTCTTCCTACTACCATGAGATGAGATGAGGATGCAGAAACTAAGAGAGGAGCCGCTCAAGTCCACAGAGCTGGGAAGTGGTGGGAAAGGGCTTCAAGCTCCAGGTGGATGGGACTCTGATGAGGTATTTTTCTTCTACATCCTATCGTTACCGCCGTGAGGTGTCGACTGGAACAGACGAGCCTGCCTTTTTTTGTCTCTTCCAATGGGGATGCCCTGGCCAAATGCTAAGAGGGAAAAGTCGGACACCACGGGGACAGCTCTTCAAGGCTGTCCACATACACATCAGGAACGGCAGCTCTGATGCTGGCCCATGTTCATCCAAAGCCTAGAGGAAGGGCAGGCGGGACAGGCCCAGGACACCAGGTCTGGCCACTGTGGGCTGTGCCAGTTCCAACCTGTGGGACATTGCACGGGGAAATCCACGGGGGAAAAAAGTCCCTTTGTGTGGCAAAGGTCAGCAAGGCCATCAGCATGGACTTGCCAGGCCGTGTAATTCCCTCTGATTCTCTGTGGAGCCACGTACGGCATTAGTTTAATTCCTCAAAATTAGCAACACGCTCTGGGGCCGACACAAACAAGGATTTCACGTGGTGTTTTCGCTGGGATGTGGGCAGTGCCCCTAATCCTGAGCCCTGCTCGTGGCTCTGGGAGCTGCTCACCACCAGGGCTGGCCTCGTGCGGCTCCAACTTTCCCTTCAGCCCCTGCGACATTCCACATCAACTAAGGGCTACGTGGAGCCCGCCTGCCCGACTTGTTTACTGTTTTCCCCTCTCGGCTCAGAATGGGGACTTTGTTTTGCAGCCCTTCTTGGCATAGGCTTCTAGGCCACACCAGGGAGGCTCTGGGACAGGGATGGACAGATCTCAGAGCTGGGGTCTGCGGGAGAGGGACCCAGCGAGAGGGGGAGAGGAAGAGGGGGCTGAGTAGCAGAGAACCTGCTCCTTGCCGGAGGGCCCTTCAATTCCTTAAAGACTCTGGCCCCGGAAGCTCCTTCAGGACTCAGACGTCCAGGAAAGCCTGGGTCCCTGGGGACCAGGGGAAGGTATTTCTGGGCACAGAAAACCTGGAGGGAATTTTTAGAACAGTTTTTGCTTAAGGGCTCAGAACATACCCGTAGGCTGTCCATATCCCCAGCCCCATGGAGGTGCCTTCTCCCCAAGACACACAGCATCAGCAAGAGTCTCACTGTCTCCGAGCCGCACCTGATTTATCAGGCCAGCCTGTGCCAGTGAAACAGCCTTGCCTGCAAACGTGGCCAACGAACAGCACAACCTCAGCCGGATGGGGACGCTCCACCCCTCCCTAGTCCTTACCTTCCTTTCCCTCGGCTCCGCCGCTGCTCCCTGCCAGTGAGAGGCCTGGATCGTCCCGTGGGCACTGTGAGGGACAGGCCGCTCTCCCCAGGGCCAGCCTATGCTCTCGTAGGTTACATGCATTCGGCAGAGGGAGCATCATGGTCTCCCATGGTCCCTGGTGATGACCAACCCAGCCCGAGCCCCAGGAGCTGCCAGACTGGCAGGACGCATCTCTGCCCAGGCAGGCGTCAGGTACCAGCAGGAGCTTCACCCCATGGGGAAGTGACGGGAACAGCCCTCGGGCTCAGGAGCTGGGAGGGAATTGCCCTAGAACCAGGCCTGCCCTGAGTGCTGGGAGGCGCGAGGGATTTGGCAGGTTGAAACCTGGTCTACGTGCCCCCTACGGACACCCAGAGAGTCTGTTCAGATCCACTCCTGCCCACCCTCCCCATCAGCCTGCTCTGATCTCAGGGTCAGGGTCCAAACCCCCGGGGAAGTGGCCCAGAGGCCAGATGAAGCCTCAGCTCTGTGGTCAGATGGCTGCGGGGTGCAGGCCCACCCTCCCCTCCCTGGCCATGGAGCCTTGCGCTGCCTATTGGGGGTCCTGAGTTCCACTCTCACCTGTCGACAGGCCGCGGGTGGGTCACACCAGTCTCTCTGATGTGCCTGGCATAGTGCTGGCTCAGAGCAGCCCTCCGCAGACATGAGACCAGGAATCCGAAGATTCCCAGCCCCTGAGAAACTCTGACACCACGCCCACCTCTTCTTCCAGGCATCGAAGTTAGACAGACATCACACCCTGTTTATCTCCATGTGGCCCGGGGCTGGGCTCCTTCACGTTCCAAGTCGTTCCCACCACCCAGCTCCCACTCTCCCTCGCTAACAAGACCACGTGGCCTATCTCAGGCTTCCGGATTCACACTCACCTGGTCCGTCTCACACTCCCGCTTGCAGGTGCTCTGGGCATCCACCCAGAGGTTGGGGTTCATGTCGTTGGGGCAGATACCAGCGTGAGAGTATCGGATGGGCGGCAGTGCCAGGCCTCGCGGGGGCGCCCCCAGCAGCAGCAGCAGCAGCGCTGCCATCTGTCCCCAGCAGGACCGGGAACAGCAGCACCCCGGGGCCCGCATGGTGGGGTCTGCGGCGCCCAGAGACCTCCCCTGAGACGGCGCCAGGGCTGGGGCCCCCAGGGCCTTGTGCTGTTCGGGGGGCTGCCGACACCTGCCCTGCCCACCCCAGCGGGCCTCCTCGCCGCTGCTAGGGCTGTGGCTGCCGAGGCTGCCTCCACCAGGTCTGTGGAGCCCGCCGGGCTGTGCAGCCTCAGATGAAGGGGGCTCCCTCTCCGGAGTGTGCAGGGAGAGAAGCTGCACGGGGGCCAGAGCCTGGATTTACGTCCTGGGCGCGCCACCCGACTGGGAGCAAGCTAACCTGACGCCTGTCACAGGCAGGCTGCCGGCTCCTCTGTCCTGGGGCTGATCACAGACTTGTTGCAGAAGAGGAAAAAAAAGCTGGAAGCAGTTTAGGCGGCGTATCTGGCACGGTGGGACACCTGCTTGTTTTTGACTCCAGGAGGCCTTTAACCCCTTCAGGGGCCAGAAATGGCATGTGCTTTGGGGGAGCTGGCTCCGGGACACGCAAGCTCACTGTACTGCACCAGGAGGCGTGCTTCCCCTCCCCCTACCTCTCGGCCGGGCCCCCTCCTCCCCTGGGCCACCTCCGAAGAACACACACTCGCTTGTTACAAGGAGGGACCTGCAGCCGCAGGGTTAGCATCGCCGGCCCGATAGTGCATCTGAGAGCAAATGACGTGGAAAAACAACAAGTTCACGGCCATTCCAGGGCGGGCCTGAGCAGCCTGTGTGCTGTGTAAGCTGACTCCCACCCCAGCACCAGGTCCCAGGGTGGGGGGCGTGCGGACAGCTCCCTATCTCTCTGTCCCGGCAGTTTGCATCTCAAGTTCCAACTTCGGGGAATTTTCCCCAAATCATTCCAGAGACACATACCAGATATGCTCCGGCTCCCCCGGCTCGGGGACGAATCACATTCCTACTCCTCGACTGACACGCTCCCGGCTCCAAGAGAACCTATGTGGTCACAGTGTCTTGGGACAGCGCTGGGCAGCCCAGCCGCCTCGCTAACGACCATGAAGGCTGCACTCAGGGAGTGCCAGTCAGCTCTCGTCCCCCTGATTTACTTTAGGAAGGAGAAGGTCACCCCCGGTGAGCAGCGGTAGGACGACTAATTGTTGATATTTACTGGGGCCTTAATGTGTGCCAGGCTGTGTGCATTGTCTCATTTAATCCTCACAACAAACTATACCTTCATTTTAGATTTGAGGAAAAGACACACAGAGAGTGTAAGCAACTTGCCCCATGTCACACAGCTACGTGACCCCACCATTAATGCAGGGACACCAGCTTGTGGGGCCTTTGCAGAGCACCCCTCCCCACCCAGCTGTCAAAACTGCTGTCGATGTGCAGCCCCAACTCTGGTCTTTACAGGCTGGACAAGAAGTTTGTGAAACATCAAGGGCTATATCTGTGGAGGGGACAGGAAAAGAGCCAGAGCCTGCCATGGAATGGGGAAGAGAGAGATACCTTTTCAAGACCAGCTGCAAAGGATGTGGGGAGCAGTAACCGAGCTGCTATGTCCCAGGGGCAGTCGATGGGGTGGGGCCCCACTTATTTCACAGATGGGGAAACTGAGTGCCGAGCCCTGACCCGCTCTCCCCCTCCGGCTAGACCTCACCCTCCAGTTGGCCTGTGAAAGGGCAGCGACCCTCTTTCCACCCTGCAGACTTTGCTTCTTCCTCGTGGGCGGCGTGTTGCCTCCTCCCTGCCTGAGCCAATTCCTTCCCGTCGTGTGGGTCATTCTGCAAGATCTGTCTTTTCTGCTTATGTCAAAGAGTTAATGAAGGGTGTCAGATCCTAATCCCCTAAATTATTGGAATAAACTTCCCTCCGAGGCCGGTCCCAGTAATGAAGCCAGACAGCGGGTGGCGCCGGCTGCTTTGAATTCCCTGTAATTTCATAAACCCGTGTTCCAGCTGCCCAGAGTCGGGCCTCTGCACAGCACTTGGTGAACGTGGTTTGTGCAGCCTCCTTGGATATCACAAAGGGAAATGGACAGTGACACACTTCTGAGCAGGACTTAGAAAAATTGTCACAGCCCCATTACATGACACAGGTATCCGGGGAGAGGAGGCTGATTTCTGGGGAGTCACTTGAGACCATTAGGAAGCGGGGGAGCAGGGAGGGGTACAGACCAGAGGTGGGGGTGGGGGTCGGAAAAGCAGGGAACCTTGTCCATCCTACCCGATCCTCCGCCCAGTTTGATCCTGTCGAGAGCCATGGGCCTCTCCCTGCCCGGGCCCCACTCCTGGCCATTCTGCTCTGAGAACTCTCAAAACAGCACTGGGGAAGAAGGGGCCCTAGAACACTCAGCTCTCCCTCTCAGCCCTTCCAAGTCTCCCACCAAAACACAGCTCAGAATAATAAATAACATCTGATCAGGCCTTGGCGCCTACACAGCACTTTCACCTACATCGTCACACTGACCCTCACGCCAGCTCCGGAGGGAGAGAGAGGAAACCGAGTCACAGAGAGTTTAGGTGGGGCTGCCTGGGGCCCCCGAGGCTCACGCCTCCCCTCTCTGACCCCTGTCCTGTGCTCTTCACACAACCCCATGCAAGCTTCCGGCCCCTCCAGAAAGGCCCCCGCTGGCTGCCCCACCAGTCCAGCTTGTTTATAAGCTGTTCTGGGAGTGCTTTGAAGTCTTCTCCTCCTGGGCCCTCCCTCCCACGGTCCCTGGATCAGGCTCCCTCTGACTCTGTCTCCCTCACTCTCTTCTCTGGAGGGTGGCATGGAACCCACGCTCACCAGCTCCCCGGGACCAAAGGAGGGCTCAGCTGTCCGTTCCCACCTACGCAGGCCTCTGGGGAATGGAGATGGGCTGGGTCAGCCTGAGCAGGGGCCTGAACTTGGGGGTTTCCCCTGCTTTTCACCCTCCCCAAGGACATCAGGCACAGCTCCGTCAGGAAGAGGGCTGGGTCCTGACCTCGTCTCAGAAGAGCCCCACCACTGTGGGAGGGCAGAGGGCACTCTCCAGGTTGGGTTCAAGGCCTACTCTAGGTGCAGCCAGTAGGAAGTCACCCAGGACAGTGAACTCCGGTGACCCTTGACCTCAGGTTCACCATTAGCCGAACAACTCCCGAACCGCTAGAGTATTGACAACACACTGACACTGCTCCCTAAATGGGCCAGGTCTCTCCCCTCCAGACACTTCAGCCATAAACGTGGAGGAGACACCTGGAGATCCACAGGGACAGCATCTCAGATGCCACGTCCCTCATGCACAGACCAAACCTCTTACCTCTTGAAGCGTCTCCTCCCTCTCCCTTCTTGATGTTTTTTAAAGCACCTACTCTGTGCTAAGTTGTGGGTGCCTAGGGATAGATGGCAGTCCTCATCCACAGAGAGGACACAGTCTTGGCCAGAAAACAAACACGCAAAAGCGTAAGAGTGGTATTCGCTGTCTTAGGGGTCCTTACAAGTGCCGGGGAGCAGAGAGGAGGGAGAGGCCTGGGGTGGCTGTTGTGCACATGTGACGTGGGCTGGGTCTTGAGGCCTGAGCAGGACCCTGTTTCCTACACTTCTCCGGGGACAGGAGTGGCCCAGAGCACACCTCCTCGGCCAAGGCCCTCCCTCCTGGAGTGCAGGCCTCCAGAAACAGAGGTGAGAGGGAAGTACGTGGGTTTAGGAGACAGGGTGGGGGTGGGAGCTGCAGGTCTGGCTTCCGCTTGGAGTGGCCCTAGCGTAGTCAAAGGGCAGCCCATTCTGGTCCATCCTGCTTGGGCCCCCAGACCTGAGGCAGCCACACTTTCACCCAGATGGATGGGGGAGGCCAACCCCCTGGGAACCTCCCTGCCCTGATCCTGGTTATTTAAACATATCTGGGGAGGAGGAAAGATTTGAGGAGCAGGAATTGGGGTGCTGGGGAGAAGGAAGTCCTTAGCGACGGTGCTTAGATGGGTTCTCAAAAGGCCGGGCAGCCTTGATTAGTCAGAGTCAAGCCAGGGAGTTCAATAAAGCCGGCGGCTCATTACCCAGCTGGGGACCCCCTGCCCGAGCAGCCCAGGGCCTGGGTTACATTACAGGGCTGTGTGAACTCTCCCCTCGGAGTGAGACTGCACTGGCCTTGGAATAATTATGGGGCCTCAGCAGATGGTGGAGGCGGACGGGGGAGACCTTCAGCTGTGGGACACGTGACCTGTCAGCATCTGTGCAGAGCAGGACATGGGAGGGTCCACGCTGGGCCTCGGGGGAGGCAGCACTGAATCAAGGTCTGAGAATGATGGAGTTGGCCGTGGCAGGGCCTAGCCAGTGCTCTGGGCCAGCCAGGCCTCCTTTACAGCCCTGCCCAGGCCAGGGGGCCTGCTGGTGGGACCAAGTCCCTGGAAGCTTGAGTGCCAGCGTCTAAACAGATCTGTGTGTCGTGCCGCAAGAGCAGGAGACACATCTTCTGGCACCTGTGAGTCTTCGAATGCCTTCCTGGAGCAGGTGGGCCTCAAGGAGCTCGGGGATTTCAGCCACCTCACCAGGAGGCTCCATGGCGCTGAGGCTGTGTAGCGCGCAAGGAGTCAGGGCACCCCCCTCATCACCCCCCCTGAGACCCCTTCCCACTCCCTCCCCTGTGATCCCATGTGCCGAGACTCCTCCAGCTCCGCCTTGACAGAACTGGCTTCAAGTATCCTCCAGCAGCTCTCGGCCAAGACAAACACGGAGGGAAGAAGACGGAAGGCCGCGGGGCTCCACCTCTCCACTCTGCTGGGGAGAGCGAGGGCCTGGGGGTCCAGCAGGAAGACTAAAACGGGGCTTGGCCCCCCTCCCACTCAGGCCTCCTCTACCATAGAAGCTTCCCTGGCCACTCAGCTCTCCTCGCTCCCAAGCTCTCTGCCTCACTGTCTCCTCCTTTTGGATGAGAGAGGAGTGAGGAGGTCCCAGACGTGGGTCTCCCTGCTCACCCACACGCTGCTGAGCCAAGGGGGCGTGTTTTCCAGAGTCAAATGCAGCCCCGGCACCCATTCCAACAGCACAAAACGTGCAGTGACCAGGAAACAGGCCTCTTCCTGACCGCTATTGTGAGACCTCTGGCTTAAAGATGGCTTCCCCACGTTCATGATGCCGGCCGAGCATTTAGCCTGGACCACCACGAAATTCCACTTCCGTGCCTTCTCCAGTCTTATCGCTGCTCCCCTTCCTCTCAAATTCTGGAAGCTGCCACGTTGCTCTTTCGATCTTTAAAATCTTCACACGGGCTTTCCCTTTAGTCCTCGCCATGGACGCCTTCCCTTCCCCTGGCTGGTTCCATCATCCCCCGGTCAACTGCTTCCCAACCCGTCTTAGAAGCTGCACCTTCCAGCAGGCCTTCCTGACCTCAGAGGCTGAGGGAGGCCCGAGTCACCTTGGGGGTTCCTGGTATCGTTTTTAAAATGAAAAAGCAAAACAAAAACTGGGATACAAAACCTGTGGCAATGTTTAAATACTCGACCTGGTCAGGACGTGTGTCTATGCCTGTGTAAATGGTAAGCTGTTTGGATGATAATGTCAAAAATACACATTTGATGGGGGGAGGGATAAATCAGGAGTATGGGATTAACAGATACACGTTACCGTATAGAACATAGATATACAAGGATTTACTGGTTAGCACAGGGAACCACATTCAATATCTTGTAATAACCTATAATGGAAAAGAGTCCAAAAAAAGAATATATATATATGTATAATGAAT